TTACGTCATATCTGTTGGCTAACGTTTCCGGACCCATCGAGATAAGGAAAGTGTTTATGCATGCTCCAAGTCTCTTCCTAGCAGCCAATCCTAAAAATAATGTGCAGGAATACAAATGAAGGAAAAATTCCAACATTATAACAAATGATACAATTAATCACTACATACAACTCTCTCTGTTGAAAAATTCAAATGGACAAGTACAATTAAACAATTTATAAATTAAAATGTCCCACATCTGAGATTTAATAAATTGGAGATATAGGATTTATGCAATAATAGGGGAAAAGTGAAGAAAAATAAATCTAAAGCTTCATACAATAATATACTAAAACTGTATGTATCTGTAAAATGGAAACTTTAATAAATGAGAAACCTAAAATAATGAGTAAACATAATAAACTGTTATTAAAGGGACAGTGTTAAAGATAGAAAGACCCTCAACATTAATTCATCTGAAGAATATGATTACATAAATGTAATAAAAGTGATCGTGCAGATGTGTGAAAAAAATAATGCACAAAATAAGTATAATGCTTATATATCTGTTACATATACATTTCTGTATATCGTGTATATCAAAAAACAAAACATTTTTAGGTGAAGACTAGACACCCCAGCACGCAAACCTACGGGCTAACAATATTCTATACTATAAGATATTGTGTATTACCAGGCCTTCAAGGTGTTTCAATTCAATTCAAAATACACTTTTGAGTAACAGAGGCCATGACAGGGCAAGGAGGAATGGCCAGAGTGGCCTTAAATAACCCCTTTCTGTTCTCAAAAGTCTGTGTCAAAAATGATGCTAAAATATACATGACCTATGCCACTTGATTCATGTGGACCATTGTTATAATAAAAAAAATTATGCAAGCATCATGGTGTATATTTGTAGTCTTAAAGTGGTCCATGTAACAATTGATGTGAGAATGATGCACAGTGTCAATAAGTATGTGTCAGCATCTGTAATGATAATAAAATAATACTTTAGGAATACACTGAATAAAAAACAGGTTTAGGAGGGATTCAGGCTCTTTGCTCTTTTGCCATTGCTAGAATACAGCCCACAGTCAGCTGACTGTTTATGGCCTGCCCTACAGGCTGGAACTTGTGCAAGCTTATTCATGTTTTATTTTGTATCATATGAATCCATTGTAACATTTAGCAACTTTATAGCCTTTTGTAAGTAACATGTTGTAATTTTGTATTGTATAATTATTGTTGTAAATTGACATTCTGCTAGTATCTGTTTACTTTACGTTATTATAATTATATTAAATATATATTTAATATTACAACTTCTTGTGTAACTTCTATCCACATATTCGACCCTAATACAAAGAACTATAAAAACTATTAATGGTGTTACTTATTGCTTAATTATTATATATTAGTTAAAATATGAATATTCATATTTAAGCCATGGCCACAACAAGGTGTCGTGGAAACTCTGCCATTTGTCAAAGATTGAAAATTACTTGAGGCAAACTATTCGCTACTTGAAACCAGTGAAAAAGAGCATTTCATCAAGATCCTATCTTTATGAAAAGGTCAGAAGTGACAGAGCCACTATCATGCATTGTTTTCTGTTACTCTACATATAATCTTATTTTTGTTATCCCAATAAAGTGTAATCCCCTTCAGTTCATTTTTGCTTCTTGGTTACATTATTCCTGCAAGCAAAACCAACAAAAGTTTCACTTGCAATACATCTACACGTGTAATTTTTTTTTAGATGAATCATTTTTAGGCTGCTTAATAACAGAAAATGCCAGTAGGTTCTGTTTTTTTCCCTTGAAATTGTAAAATATTTATGTTTGTTAGCAACTTGCTCTATATATTCACATTTCACTCCAAATAATTGTATTTATTTATAAAATATTTTAACAAGAAAGATACATTGAGATTTCTCTCATTTTCAAGTATGTCCTGGGTCCACAAAACATTGCATTGATAATCACCTAGATCAATTTTCCATCAGCTTTGCATATACAGTAGATTTATGAATTATTGATGTGAATCTTTTTACACACATTTTCTTCCATATAATGATTCTTTTTAAGTCACCAAGCTAAAAATTCCTTTTAATAATAAGAGTATCTGAAAATAATTTATGCTTCTGCTTGTGTCTCTTGATACCTCATTTGGACATGCATGTCTTTCACATTTAACCAATAGATTCCAGTATGTTGGATGCACCTATAGCATGTTAATAAATCAATTATTGTTCTACAATAAAAGGAGACCATAGGTAGTGAACCCACATGCGTTGTACTTATCACACTGGCAGAAACAATTATCCTTTGCTGTTTTTCAATTTAACACATTGTGACAGTGGGTATATGTTAGCGTACCATGAAATGGAAAAAAAAGTTTTTCATCGTTTTTAAAAAACATTAACTTTTATTTTGAAATGTTATATTTTATTAAGGTGTGTAAATGTTAACATTCTTGTATATTTATATGTGCTTGAAATTAAATACTATGATATAGTTGCACTTTTTTATAGGCACAGATTATTTTAGTTTCCATTTTTTATTATATATATATATATATATATATATATATATATATATATCGTCCATTTTTAATATAAATATTTTTACTATGCTATTTAGTATACAAATAAAACATTATTCATATTCATACCATCAGTATAAACTGTAAGGCTAATAAATAAATTTTGCTTCCTCTATCTAGAAAATTTCACTGGCTTCTGGCTGATATCTGACCTCACAAGGGGACAGTATTATCATGTGTTTACTTTTACACATGCATTTGATTCATTTTTAATAGTAAAAAATTGTAACTATTCTTGTCTGTGTCACGATTCTCTACAACCTAACACACAGAAGGTTATAAGTGACTAAGGCAGGGGTGGACAACCTTTGAAACTCCAGCTGTTATGAACTACATCTCCCATAATGCTCTTACAGCCTTAATGTTGGCAAAGCATCAGGGGAGATGTAGTGCACAATATCTAGCGTGCTGATGGTTGCCTACACCTGGACTAAAGTAAAACGGAATATGTGATAGAAGCATATTACTGGCCGTTAGAGGGGCTAGGCTTAATGCAAAGAGTAGTTGAGAACAAGTCAAGGTCAGAGAAACAAAGAGTAAAATAATTGATGAGACAAGCCAAATATCAGGGACAATAAATGGAGAATGGTCGAGAAATGAGCTGAAGAAAAGATAGCAAAATATAATTTTTTAGCAAAAACAGAAAAAAACTCTCTCTCTTACCACCACTACAACAAAACCCCAACAGGGCACAGTACTAAGTGTGGATCAAGCTAATTCAGCCCTAGGAGGTGCATAATAGGTTGTTGTCATTCTCGTGAACCAAACACTGCATGCACAGAGTCGCAATATTGACACATGCACATTCACGTTGTTGATGATGCAGGAAGGTCTGGAGTCATATAAGGATGTGTTCACAGTGACAAGCATCTGAATAAATAACACAGTGACATGAGTTACTACGAGGTGCAAACAGGGAGCGGGTAGGGAAAGTTCATACCTGATTGGAATAACCGATAATCCGTCAAGCTGGTGCTGTGCCAATCTGCTACTAAGAATAAAGTATGCCCTATTATTATTGTATATTACTTTTCTTCACAGCATTCATTTTCAATATTTTGTGTACATTTATAAAGGGGGTGGGAATTTAGTTTGGTTCTTTGACAAAACAGGCTATTTATATCTTCATGCGCCAAAGGCCAAAAGCTACCAGATATTTGCTCTGAGATAGTTAAAAATGTTCTTAGTGACAAGTGTCTTAATATAGAACACTGAATGTATATTCTTTCAGTGTCCTTGTTTCCTAAGTTACATAATTTTGAGGACATTATTCTAGCTTCAGTTTTCCCGTTATCCCTTTAACCTTACAAAGTCACTAAAATGGTTATCAGACTGTATTTTTCCACACACTTGATTATTGACGCGCAAGATACATACTATTAACCTTTCATCATATATGTATAGAAATAAAAGGATACATTTAATAATATACAAAATAAGTGAGCTATTAACTAAGCTACAATATCCAGCAAGCAAATTGTGCATATTGTTAAAGCAAACAAATTGGGCATATTCTTAAAACTGTTCTGACCTTATTCTCATGAAAAATGTATGAACGTGAATATTCTCTAAAGATGTTTGCTCGTATCAGGACATTGTTCTTGTAACTTCAAAGGCAGATGGAAGCAGCATGTACTATTGTGTGAAAAGTACACTTGTGATACTATACTGCATAAATCTTTGAAGTTTTTACTATAAAGTATGAAGTGTTTATTTGATATGTGAACCTTTGAGGCCAATCCAATACTATATAATAATGTTTGCAGATAATTCTATATAGATAGCTTTCAGCTAATGCATTCTATTATTATTTTTTCCTTCATATAATGTGTGAGTCTCTAAAGGTCCTAAAACAAATAATAAATGCCAAGCTTTATTTTCCGTTAGAGATGGATATAATTTGAAGTCAATGATTCTCTTATTACTATTTTAATAACAGTAAAAAAGTTACATATTAATTCATATATCCTCTACCTCCCGTAATAAATACAAGTACAAAATGAGTGTTACTTTCATATACATTTCCACTGTATCCCGGGAAATATACAAAATATAGTTAATTACAATGTAGTTCATTGTTCACTGTTGATCACTCATTCCTATGTTTTTCATGTGTGTATCTATTTATCCATTTTTCATTTCTTTCTTGAGCTTAACTTTAACAAAGAGTTTGTTATGATATCACTAGTTTACTTTACTTATCTGTTAGCAACCACATCTGACGCTCATTCATGATCGTGGTGTTATGTACAAACTCACTTACAGGATTCCATTCTGGCCAACTATACACACATGGGTCATTGGTAAGTGATTTTTTACTATATATATATATATATATATATATATATATATATATATATATATATATTAACCAAGGCACTCACAAGTCTTAATCAATGTGGATTTATTGTGTAGTTCACATCAAACAATGATCAATGTTAAGGCCTTTATTAAGATCAAATAAGCAGTGACAATGTTTATATATATATATATATAAACATTGTCACTGCTTATTTGATCACTGAGGCCTTAACATTGATCATTGTTTGATGTGAACTACACAATAAATCCACATTGATTAAGACTTGTGAGTGCCTCTGACTTGTCTCTAACTAAATGTAAGTAACGGGGTGTTTCACCTAGGCATAACCAATAAATATTGATCTTGTTCAGGAAGTGTTGTGAGCTTGGATTCTTTATTACATATACATACATACATACATACAAATAAATTCGTACTAAATAGAAATTCCATTCATCCATTCCGAATTTCGGCCGTAAAACATTAGTTTTTCGGATGAAATTCTGTAAAAAATAATTTGTTTTCCCCAATTAGGATGAAAATAACACTGCTCATGCGCCTAGAAAAAAAAAAGCAAGGAGGGAGCCAGCAGCGCTACCAGCTCCCTCCTTGTAATAAATATTAACAATTCCTACACTCCCTGAATTAAAACTTAATCCTCCCGTTTGCCTCCACAAATAGGGGCATGTCATCTAAACAGCGAGCAGTCGCTATTGCAATAAGGGGGAACCTGCTCTAGTGAAAATAGGATGGGGGAGGACCTATTAACCCATCCACTATCCATGAGCAGCGTTGGGTGAACTCACATATAATGGGGGAACCTATTTCCGCCCCCTGACCCTTACCCATGAGCGGTGGGTGGGGGCCCTAGTGACAATAGGGGGGACCTATTGTCCTGTTTTGCCCCCACCCATGAGCGCGTGTGGGGGCCCTAGTGAAAATAGGGGGAAAGGAATTATTGTCCCCCCCGGCCCCTACCCATGAGCAGCAGGTGGGGGTCCTAGTGACAATAGGGGGGACCTATTGATCCCCCTTTCCCCCACCCATGAGCAGTGGGTGGAGGCCCAAAATGACATTAGGGTGGGGGACCTACTTCCTGCCCTCCAGCCCCCACCCATGAGCAGTGGGTGGGGACCCAAAATGACTTTGGGGGAGCCCTAGTGACATAAGGGGGAGGGCTTATTGTACCCTCCGGCCCCCACCCAGGAGCAGCGGGTGGGGGCCCTAGTGACAATAGGAGGGGACCTATTATCCCACCCACCCCTACCGTGAGTCCAAAATGACTATATAACAAAGATTTACTAAGTCCTGAAAATTCCAGGTGAAAAAGACACGTTTGAGGGTTCCAAGGTTGACTTCAAAATAGACGTAAGAACAGTAGTAAACTCTTGTTTAATATTAGGCAGTTTGGTACAGTCCCACCATGTATGTTTTAGTGTTCTTTGCCAGGTTGGGAGGCTGATTTATTAACTTTATTTAAATGAGAAGGAACTATATGCCAGCGTTGCAACAGCTTATAAAAAGTTTTGTGTAGATTTACTAAATGGAATGTCTTCTTAACTTCTACCCATACATCAATCCAATTATTGATAGGCATCTTGATAATTAAATGCATTTTCCCTTTCTCAATTGAAGGGGTTGTAAAGGAGCTCTGAATACTCTTCATTAAAGCAGTTAATCTAGATATTAATTTGGCCTCATATTGTTGCACAATGAAGACATGCAGGTCTCATAAAATAACAATGGGGTTTACAGAGAGGAAGTGCTTCCCCCAAAGACATGAAAAAAAAATTGGTTTGGGAGTGGACATTTTAATTGGATCTCATGAAAATTAAAATAGTTTTGCTCTTTTTATATCATCCAATGTATTTATCCTGACCTTTTGCAGCTTATTAGATCAATGTCTTGGATAAAATATATTGGAAATTCAAACCATCAGGACACAGTTATTTCCCGCTTTTTTAAATTTGAAATAGTGTTTTTGACTTCAGCAAGGGAGAGAGGTCAATTAAGAAGAATTATTTTACTCTTAGTTAATTTAGGTAGTTTCTGTGTTTGTAGAAAGTCTTTAAAGGAACACTGTAGTCACCTAAATTACTTAACATATTAACATAGCAGGGGATAAGAAAATCTTAATTAAACAGAACTTGCAATAAAGAAAGCCTAAATATGGCTCTCTTTACAGGAAGTGTTTATGGAAGGCTGTGCAAGTCACATGCAGGGAGGTGTGACTAGGGTTCATAAACAAAGGGATTTAACTCCTAAATGGCAGAGGATTGAGCAGTGAGGCTGCAGGGGCATGTTCTATACACCAAAACTGCTTCATTAAGCTAAAGTTGTTCAGGTGACAATAGTGTCCCTTTAATCAGAGGTATAGGGGTATCACATTGTCTCAGATTGAGCTATAACAACATGTGAAGGACTCTGCAATATGAAAAGGATCTCATATAGGTTAACTATATGCTTCTGTATTCTGTGTCTTTCGCCTTGGGACTTGACCTTATTAGTGAGGACTTTACTTGATTGCCATTGTAATACCATTTCTCTTTTAAAATAAATATGGATTTACTAACTTACTATGTAGTTTGGTCTTTATTTCTTGTTGGATCTTTAATATGTCATCTGCAAGTTCTGATAAAGTGTCTAATTTATTCTTACTTTCAAGGTTAACCAAATGCAATATACAGGTCTGAGAGGGATCTTCCTTTTAGCTTTCTCCAAATATTATTGAATTTGATCAAGTAGCCTCTCATGGTGCACTTTAATGTGCATCATAATGTAGAATCTGTGACAGTATTATTATCATTTAATTGCAATAATGTCTGCACCTCTATAGTCAAATCTTGTTTGGTGGTCTCAGATAGCAAATTATGTTCCTTTAATCTCCAATTCATTCTTACATTATGTCTAGAATTGTTATTAAGTGTACAAAATAGGGGGCATTGTTTGGCCAAGCAATATTTCCTCTCTTAAGTTATTTATCTTAATTTAAGAACTTTTATGAAGCGAGTGTAGGAGAGATGAATAGGATAAATGACTGCTAGAATAGAATGTGATGTCCCTCTCAACAGGATGCAAAGGCCCCATGGTCAACTTTCTTCCCCCTTAATAAGTTATCTAATACAGTATCAGCTACACAATTGTCACCTCTTGAGACTCTCTCTGTTTGCTTAATTTAAACCTCCATAAATTTAACCGGAAAGTCATTTGGAGCATATAAATTAACCATTACATAGGTTATATTGTTCAATTTGCAGACAAGAATAATGTATCCATTGTTGGAATATATTACATGGAAAATATACTCAAATGTTACACCTTTATATATGATTATAGCTACTGCTCTTTTTTTTGTCTAGTAGACCAATTGATTGTATGAATGGTAACAAAAGAATATAATGGTGAGCCTGTTATTTTTAGGGAACACTCACAAGTGGAGGTTAACCCCTGAAAACTAAACAAAAGTAGAATATACAATAGAGTGTATCCCAAAGGGGAACCAATCAGTAGTTAGTCTTTGATACATGCAGAAAATGTATATTAAAGGTAGAAATGATTGTATGTAAATAAGAATAAAAGTAGGAATAAAACAAAAAAACTTTAATAGATATCAATTGGGAAGGACACATAAAATGGTTAAAACTCTCTCTATATATATATATATATATATATATATATAGACACATAATAAACAAATACCAACACTAAGTGGCTTTGTGAATAACTATTAGGAATCCCTGCATATAGTCAGTAGAACATATAGATGCAAATACGCACAATCCGCATATACAATAGTTATAGTAATGGAATGATTTGCTCAGGGATAACAATGTGTATATTTGATACTGGTTGTACAGGATATCCCACAACAGTTACAATAATGTTGCTAAATCTCTAGTATCATTTGTGGATCCTACAGTCTGAGAATTTAGGAGGGTAGCTAAAGGGGTTAAAAGTCTGAAGTAGCCCGCTGAGCAGGCTGGAGAAGAAAAATATCACAAATCTCTGGTAACTTTACAAAAAGATTTGTGAGTGGCAGTAGCCACTTCACTACGAAATCCTGTTAGATGTAAATACGTCAATAATCAGAGCGTGTGCCTCACGATGCACTATTATCCAGACATTTTTCTGAGTTTGTTATGAGTAGCTCCAGCTTCTACTCAGCTAAGCCCTATTCTGCTGATCAGTACAAATATATAAAATAAGTATATTAACGAAAATCCTGTGTGTCTTCGAGGGAAGCTGTTTGAATTGACTTTATCAATAAGTCTGTCCCTCCAGTATGGCAGGCTGTTGGATCAGAGTGCACTTTACCTTAATCTTAGAATCATACAGGAAAACAATCATATGTTCAAGGCAATTATCAATGATCTAGTTCAAGGCAATTATCAAGGATGTTCACCAAATCTTTTAGCTTTCTGACCACTTCTGCTACATCATTGTAGAATGCGAGTTTTGATATGTTCCTGGCATGAAAAATGAAGAGCAAACCTTCTGACAGCTCAAGTACTTTTGTGCTTTCAGATTCTTTCCTAATACAAACTTATGGTGTCTTTGCATATGTTGCTTCAGACCGACACTACTGACACGACTCTGCACTCCCTATGTACTTACTTTGTTTCTGCACAATTTTCACTTAGCAATTCACTCTTCTGGAAGGCTGTTGAAGCAATGCCAGGTTGTTTTGGATTGACCTCAATACTAGCACTTGACTGACTAAAGCTAATGGGAAGGGAGGTGGAGGTGTTACTAATAATCTGAGTGATCTACTTCTGGCACTGGAAGGAGTTGATACTCCATCTGTTTCCATGCAATGAGGCAATTCTACTACAGATAGAGATGTACTTAGACAAAGTGGAAAGTGCACAGAAGGTGCTGAAAAAAGTAGACTGCTGCTTCTACTTTCATGACTCTTCTCATCTGCTTTATTGTATAATTCTTCAGGCATTGTAGACATTACTTGGGTTTTCTGTTCTAACTATTCAGTAAATAATGACATTGATGGCACCAACAAGTTATCTGCTGTGCTCTCCCTTGCTTGCTTCTTTGGGTACTATAAGAAATATAGGGCTACAAAGGCAATGGCAACAAGTCCACTGGTTTCACCCATTCCTTGCTCTGAACACAATAAAACACATAAGCTGTAATGCTATATATATATGTGTGTTAGAAGGAGCTACAGTGGGAGTGGAAGCAAAAAGTATTGCAGCATGAAAAGGTTGAGAAATATTCAATTTTATTAAAGGACACAG